TGAGCATGTTTGTACACTCCCTGAAGAGCCCGTACCTTGAAAGAATGCTTGGAGTTACGTCAAACAGTCAGGCTAGTGAAGCTGAATCTCCTTGTGACTATCAGAGTGAAGAAGAATTCGTGATCAATGCAGTCATGCCAAAGGTTGAATATCCTCGAAGCGAATCAGTGAATTTTGTTGGTTCTTCATCTTCTCAGAGATCAGTACCTCCTATGGCTTGTTACACTGAACAGACAGCCTATCAGGAGTCTTATGTCGCTTCCCTTGCAAATCAGCGAACTCGTGGCCGAGATTATCAGACTCAGCGTCAGAATCAGATTAGACCTCGCAGCAACTTGGAACGAAGGAAAGCTCCTTCTCACCCAGTGCCTACGCTGTATGGCTAGCTGCTACCATCTTTGATTCAGAATTCTTTGGTGGAACCGAAAGCTCTAAAGCCCGTGCCAGAACCTTACCCTCCTGGGTACAATCCCCAAGTTCAATGTGGTTACCATGGTGGCTCTCCAGGGCATGCAACTGAAGATTGTAAAGCGTCAGGCGAAGGTACGGCTGTTGATCGACCAAGGGCGCATTTCCTTTCCAGAAGGAGTTTTGTTTGTTCATGCCAACCTCTCAGCTGTCTAAGCTCGTAGATTCAGAGGGTCCTTTTCAAGAAGCCAGTGGTCCAGACTGGCAGGCGCCCTCAGCCTTGGCAGTCCTCAGACTTTATATCATTTGCATTTGTAGTTTCTTTTCTGTTAGTTACTACCTGCTTTTAAGCACTGTATGTTTCGAATGGTGATAATAATGAAGTGACTATGCATTTTTCTGAATTAATCATGTCGCTGTCGCTCATTTACTGCATTGCACTGACACTTGCATTTTTATTCACTCCACTTTATCACTGTGACTAGCAAAGATTGGAGGGAGGATGACGAAAATAAACTCATAACCGATGATCGTATGCTTTCAGATAAGACCGTACCGATGACGTACAAGGCATTGTTTCAAATCCCCTACGTATCTTATATTCAAGAATGAATAAAGAATCAGAGCGTCCGTAGTTCGTGGTAACAAACACGAAAAGATGAGGTTGAACGGATTGGAGGTTTGAGTTGAGGAACGAAAGGGTGACTGACAAGTAACCCAAGAGCGCGCCTCAAGAGCTTGTCATTCAAGAATTCAAGGAATGCGAGATTCCAAGAGCTCAGTTCTTTCGGGAATTGACTGAATAAGTTGAAGATAAAGAGTTGGATGTTTTAAAATTGAAAGAATGAACTAATAACAACTCAAGGGCGCGCCTCGAGAGTTACTCATTCGAATATTCAAAGAATGCTAGATTCTGAGAATATCCCTTTTTCGTAAGTTTTAAAAATGTTTGTGAAACGATTGAATCGAAAAATGGCATGAGAGGCCAAAGGAAGTTGGTTTGGAAACGGCTCAACGACGTGTCGAGGATTTGATCAAAGATGGAACCGACTTGACGACGTGTCAAGGGTTAGATTGTGAGAGATGACGTTGGTCCCTAAGGGTGCCTCCAATATCAAAACCACGAGGAGTTGTGAACGCGTGTACGAAATGTGGGTTGCGAATGCGTACGAGCATTCGACTTAAGAGAACGTTGAAAAATGATTGAGTTTGGCAAAGTCGAAAGGTTGAGTGAATAACAACTCAAAGGGCGTGCCTCGAGAACTATTCACTCGGAAATTCAAAGAATGCTAGATTCCAAGAATCTCCTTCTTTCGGAGTTTTAATCGAAAAAGATGTTGAGGAAGCGTTTGAGAAAATCAAAAGATTGAGTGAATAACAACTCAAGAGCGTGCCTCGAGAATTATTCACTCGAAGATCCAAGGAATGCTAGATTCCAAGAATCTCCTTCTTTTGGAGTTTTAATCGAAAAAGATGTTGAGGAAGCGTTTGAGAAAATCAAAAGATTGAGTGAATAACAACTCAAGAGCGTTCCTCGAGAATTATTCACTAGAAGATCCAAGGAATGCTAGATTCCAAGAATCTCCTTCTTTTGGAGTTTGATCGAGAAAATGTTTTAAAAAAAGATTTGAAGCAAAAATGCAATAGTCTCGACTAAATTATCATCTATCAATAATTTGACCGATAATAATTATTAAAGTCATCATTGACTAAAGAATAAGAAAAAAAAAGTGGATAAAAAACGAAAATGAAAGTTTTGAAAAAAAAATTGGTCTCGGGTTTGTTATTACTTGTCAATGATTTGACAAACTATAACTTGGAGGTCTTGTCATCGACCCGAAAACGAGTGAAAGTGGAATAAAATGCCCAAATACAAAATAAAATCCAATCTCTAAAAAAAGATAATAAAGAGTTTCTAAAAGAAATATAACATATTATGAACCTAAAAAAAATTCTTTAAAAGAAGTAAATCTATTAACTATTTTAAAAACTTTGTATAATTTCTTAAAAAAAGACTATGTTATAAAATAAATGTTTATTAACAAACCACAAACTGTTTATATATATAAAAAAAACACATTTATGCAATCTAACCGAACCATTTTATAAAATACGAATATATTAAAAAAATTTAAAAGAAAACATAAAAGAAAGGGGATTATTGGAAAATGGGGGTGGAAAAAAAATAAAAGATAGCTGAGGATCATATGGGCCTTCAAAGCCCATCACCTATCAACGAAAAGAAAGTAAACGGGGGGTGGTTGATAGCAAAACACATGGGCCTTAAAACAAAGCCCGTATCTCTAAACCACAAGCCATGGTGATGCTGAGAAATATCAAAGGAATCATGAAGCTCCAACAAAACCAAACTAAGGCGTGAATCCAAAACACAACCTCACCAAAGAAAAACAAACATGAATAGAACCAGAGTAGAACAACTGCGACATCAGTCGATATTTCAAAGCAAATCGAAAATGAAACATGGAAAACGAAGCTTGTTGTCCAACCTCCTATCAATCTCTTTTGTGGATCGACCTCGCTGTTGCGTCTTGCTCATCCGATTTCGTCCCTTCACCTCCAAATCGTGCACCTTCTCTTTTGATGATGGCTTTTTTCTCTTCTTCCCTAGCTTATTCTGTCTCAGATCCAAGGTCCTCTTCTCACTCCTGTTCTACTTCTTCTACTCGTTTTCTGTTTGGTTGATTTGAGTGGTTTGGTTTATGAGTGTTTGAGGTTTGTTAGTGATAATGGTAGTTGATGAATATGGGTTTCAGTTTGAGATGATTTTGGTTGAAGAAAGAAGGACGGGTTATTAGAGTTATGAAGAAAGAAGATTGTTGTGGTTTTATTTTCCGTTTTGGGGTTAGGTGGTTTAAAGGCTTGTGTTATGAAGGTTTTGAGTAATGGTTTATTGAAGAAGAAGGGTTGGGTTTTATTGGTTGGAGAAGTTAAGTTGCAACTTTTTCTGGGTATTGATGTCTGCGATTTGTATCTTGAGTAGATGATTGAAGAAGTAGAGGGTTTCAGAAAAATAGGTTTAAAGATGTGAGAGAGATGGAAAATGACGAAGGGTTGGTTCGTTAAGGTTGAGAATTTGATTTGAGGAAGAAAGACCTTTTAGGCTGAAATGTTGTTGGTTGAATATTATGGTTGGGTTTGAAGAAGGGGCTTTTTGGTTTAGAAATCAGTGAATATTGTTTGAGGAATTTAGAAAAGGTTTGAAGGTATCAGGTTGAAGAAGAGAGGAGGGGTTTTTGAGGAAAGCTTTGATGAGAGGTTGGAACGGATATCAGAACCAGGTTGAGGGTGGATTTTAGGACATGAAGGTTGAAGAAGGGTTTGTGGCTGATGAAGAATGAGAGGGTTTCCAAGCTGCGAAGGAGATTATTGTCCAAGAAGGTGGCGGCTAGGTTTGTTCTCCTTTTCCCTTCTATTGTGGTTATCCTTTATACTGAAAAAGAAAGGTAGATTGGAGAGAAATTCGGGAAAAAAACCAAAATGAAATATCATTGATGTGTTTCCGTTTTGCAAAATGTTGGTGTCTGCTGTGTAGTACGACCTTGCAGGTTGTGTGTGCTGCTACTGCTGTCCTTTGGCTGGTTGTGGCTTGATGTAAATGATTGTGGTTGCTTTTGCTGCGAGGTCCAAATGAATTGAGCAGCCACTTTTTATTGAAGGTATCCCCTGTATCCAAGTGGTCCCTTGTACCTTTTTCATATTTTGAATTTTCATTTTAAAAGTTGAGAAATTTAATATTCATGAATATGGCTTGCAAGGTTAAATCTCTTGGTTTGCGCAGGATTAGCTGGTACACTAAAAATGGTGAGGTGATAGCTCATAGAAGGGAATGGCTCGTCTTGGTGAGTACGTCGCGGACCTGCTGTGGACTCTCGCAACTTTCTGCATTACTGATGTGCCCGGTCTAGTGGGGTATGGCAGCTGATAGGGTTGTTTGTGATGCAGGTACGTCGATAGTCGCAGTTTTTACGGTAGTACAAGTTGTTTTGTAAATAGGAATTGATAACTTTCTCCTTATTTTTCATCATTTTGTACGTAGGGAAATTGAAGTGGCCCACCAAATGATTTGTGCGATAGCAGTCGCTCCTTGTCACGGGGTAGCTAGGAATGACTTGCAATATGTAGGAAGGTTTCTGTATCTTGAATCTGGTATGTGAAAGGTAAGTAGAGGCTTGCTTGAGGCTTGGAGCTCGTCACTTGCGGTTCTGGTTTGCTTCTTTTCATTTCGCAGCAAGTGATCTCCTGTGGGTATGAATTGGGAAAGGTTGTTTTATCAAAAAGAAATCTGCTAGGATTCGGATAATAGCGGCACTTCATTGTGTCCTGTTTTTTTCTTTTGTTAGCAGCTATATGGAATCATGGATGTGGTTGCGTATGTTTGTAACGTGTGGAGTTGAAAAATGTGAGACATGATGTTTTGTCGTATGGATCTTTTTGGCTGCTGAAAAAGTTATTGCCATTGTCTTTTTTCTTTGCAGCTATCATTTGTACGTTTTCCATTTCGTGTCCCTTAACATGTACTATCTGTGAAAGGAAATGGTGGGGACTAACTGTAAACTCTTGCCGTATGTGGTATGAACAAAAAATGGTTGGAAATTGGTACAGGTATGCAATTTGATCTTTTGTGGATGTGGTTTTAAAGCTGCTGCTGTTATACGGTTTGAAGTGTGAGGTGGTACGTATCGCAGGTAGCAGAAATTGGGGTCTGGTGGAACAAAATTTGGGACCTTTATGTGATGCTGTGAATTCTGCCTTATCCGTTTTCTTTTCGCAGGTCTGCTGCGACATGCTCCTTTATGATGGGTCTTGGTGTGTATTTGTTTTCATAACAACAAATTGGACATGTTCTGTGAGTTATAGAAAATTGGAAGAAGATGATGGTGGCTTATTCTATTGCATTACGGCCGGGACCTATGTACAGAATCATGAGTCTTACTTCCTACCCTTTTGGCAATGTATAAAGTGCTTCATAGCCTTTCCCTTTCTTGTAATTGATTTCTTGTAAAGCATGGGCTTGGAAATTCTTTGTAAACTTTTACTCTTCAACTTCTTGAATTATGGTGTTTATTACATTTCTCAACTTTAACGTTGGAGCAACCACTTGGAATAACATGTCTTGGCCAAACAAATTCGATTTAATAATATCATGTCTTACACCAAAATTGATATGACCTAAGAAATATGACTTTGAAAAAAAACAACTCGACTCATAACTTTAAAACTCAATATGCCTTGAAGAAACCTTATAGCCTTAAATTGCTAACTTGAAATTACTAACTGTAATTTCCCATCATGTTTAATGTTTTGAAACTTAGTTTGCCTCTTTTGCAACTTGCGCTTTAGTTTGATCCTCATGGCTTGAACATAAATGAGCGTTGTCATGACTTCCATCATCAAACTATGTCTTGAAGACAAACCGTATATCCCATATGTTTGATCGTAAATTGTTTACACCTTAAAAGACAAATGATCATATAACTCTTCCTTAATCCATTTCTTGAATAAATCCTTGAAACATGATTGAAGGCGTACCCGACTCAAATATCATCTTGAACCTTGATGAGTCCAAATACTCACCATGCACCAAGTGAATAGGACACATGCCCTGCCCGAAACTTGATTCCACCTAGCAATACCTTGACCAGAAACAACCTATTTTGAATTTTCTGAATATGAGGAATGGAAGAATGAACAAACGAGAATTATATACAAGTAGGACAAATTTGGGGTATGACACTATCCTGAGTTGGTGAGTAGGAACCGTATCTATGATAATGATAACCGTGCGAGGATCGCACACTACAAGGCGGCAAGTGACCGTAAGGGTAAGAAAAGGTTCAGTGGTACTCCTTATAGTGTTTCGACTGGTAAAGGGAAGTTCAAGGGTGTTGTTGATAGGAAGCCCAAAGAGGGTAGGGCGTTGACTGGTACGAAGTGTTTTCGGTGCGGTGGCATGGGTCATTGTGCCAATGATTGTCTTCCTGATGCGAAGAAGTGCTTCAAGTGTGGGAAGTCGGGCCATGTGATGGCGGATTGTAGGACTAATATGCCTACTTTTTATAACTGTGGTGAGAAGGGCCACATTAGTACTCATTGTGAGAAGCCGAGGAGGGCTCAGGCGCCTCAGGTGGCGGGTAAAGTATTTGCAGTTACGGGAACTCAAGCGGAAGACGAAGAGCGTTCGATCAAAGGTACTTGTTTTATCAATAACATTCCTTTGATTGCTATGATTGATACGAGTGCGACCCACTCGTTTATCTCTATTGATTGTGTGAAGAGGTTAGGTTTGGTGCCGACTACTCTTGAGCGGCGGATGACTATTGAAACTCCCTCGATTGGTTCAGTGACTACTTTGCTAGTGTGTTTGAAGTGTCCATTGACTATCTTTAGCCGAGACTTCGGTGTGGATTTGATCTGTTTTCCACTTGGTGGTTTGGATGTTATACTTGGTATGAACTGGGTTGAGTTCAACCGGGTGTACATCGATTGTTTTCGGAAAGTGTTACTGTTTTTGACTCCTGAAGAGGAAGCGTTGGCAGATTCCTTGTCTGGTAAGGAATTGAGAACCTTGTTGGAAGATGAAGCGCAGGTGTTTGCTTTATTTGCATCACTGTCTGTTGACAACAAGGCGTTGTTGGATGATTTAGCTGTTGTGAACGAGTTTCTAGAGGTATTCCCGAATGATATTTGTCACACCCTAATTTTTTACCTTAAGATGCCACCTCTTTTTGCGCATTTTTTTATTTGACTTTATTTTAATATTTATGTTTTTTGCGACTATTATTACTAATATTATATTTATTTCTATCATATTTATTATTATTATTATGTTATCTATTTTATTACTAACATTTACTTTCACTCTTGAGCTATTATTAGACCAATACCCCGAAGACATTCTTTGGATGCGCTTCCCGGTTATATCTCGTTAAAATCATTCTCGGATTTGTTTGAGATCAAAATACTATAGCACGTGGGTTTATGGTATTTAAGGCCTCATTGCTTTCCCACGCGAGATATCTTGGAGTCAGGGTTGAACTTCACTCATTTTATGCTCTAATTTCGTTTTTTTTGCTAAGCTACTAACAATGTGCTTTGCTTTATGGTCTCCTTAATGGCATCATTAACCAAGTGATGGATTTGGCATGGTCGCTATTCAATATGTATTCAACTTAATCAAGATCCTGTAGAGTTTCCCCAAGTGGTACAATAATGAATTGAAGAAGGAAATTATCACAAAGTCCAAAGGCAAATGAATGGAGCCTCAAAGAATGTTATAGCTTCATTCAAACCATGATCTACAACCGTTTAAGGCTGAGTTGATTCTAGGCCAGGCCTCAAATTGGGTTTTAAAGCATATTTCAAGATTGATTGGATTTGTTCTTAGCCTGTTTCAAGCCTACATCAGGAAAATCACACTACTCAAGACTAATTCAAATATGTGCCATGGATATGGAAGTTCAAGAGTCAATACGGTGAAAGCTTCATTACAAATTTTGTCTCGGAATTACAAAACCTAAACGGTCAGAAATAACTTGGCTTTTTTTCTTTTGACACTATCTACATAAAGCCTTATTACATTTCACTACTGTACATGTTGCGTATAGTTTCTTCGCCAACACCCATGTCTTCGTTGCCATAACTCTAACTTGTTACGAAAGGACAATAACACACATTTGTTTGTATCAGAACCTTGCTTCAAGTTATTTCCAGCTGCATACGCATAAGAGAGAGCGTATCAAGACGCTTTAGTCGCTAGATCACCCGCAGCAGTCATGGTAGCAGAGAGAAATGACAGCGTTTATGCCGGTTCATGCGAAAACACCTGCACTAGGAAAGTTAAACAATCAAGCTGATAAATCTAAAGCAGACAGTAATTGGAATTAAGACAAGACTTAATGGAAGAAAAACCAGGAAACCATCACCCGTAAACGTCAAATACTACAAGACTCACCAAATACAAAGAGATGGAATCGTCACATGGGGCGAGCAAACATCCAATAGTCGCCGCAGTAAAAAGAAACAAATTCCCAGCTCCAAAGAAATAAACCATTGATTCAAACAGCTGAGTACTTTGAATGACAGAAGAAAATCTGAAAAAAGAAACAGGAGGAAATAAGTATTGGCCTAAATGTTTGTTGGCACTTGTAAATGACGAACAATGCGTCAACCAAGTTTGTAAAAAATGCAACTATCACAGCATGGTTTTTACTGCTAATTACACTGCACCATATGCTTCCCAAGACTTCTCGCTCACTACTTCGAATCCAAGTGACCTCTGCCAGAAGTATCCGCATATCAGTCTGCCGCTGTTATGTATTCTGAAGGCAGAATGATGAGACACATGATCATGAAAGACCATGGTTCTGCAAAAGACCCACCTCGTATCCAACCGTGGAGCTTCTCAGCATGCTGCCGGCATGGCGCTCGAAGCCGTCCACCTGAGCCAAGTCTCTACAATAGAAAACAGAGGAACTTAATGACGCGGTTAAGGAATGCAAGCAAGTTCTGGATGTAGTTGAGAAGATATTCGGTTAGAATATACCTAATATTCAAGTGGGCAACAGATTGTGTGGGGCCGCAAACTGTAGAACGAGGTTCTTCTTTTCCAAAGTCTCGAAAACATTGGCATGAGGCCGAACTTCTCTTCCGGCAAAGCAATTTAAGGCCTCATAATACATGTTTGTTTGCCTTGGTTACCCTTGTTGATGCCGGGAACACGCTGATATCGGCACACTGTCAAAGGAAATAAGAATTTGTGAATCAATTACCAACAAGTTACAGTATCCTTGGGCAAAGGAGATTTGTTGAGTAAAGTCGTGCGAAGTACCAACTCTCTCCAAAAAGCAAACCGCAGGGATCTCCTACAATGCTGCGCTCCGTAACTTGCTAAATCGATTGTTCATCCAGCCGCGATTGTCAACTTCACTATACAATGCAAATAAGCAGCTGAACCTGCCACAACATTATTAAAGTTAGAATTTAAATAGGTGTGGTGTTATTTTTTGCTCAAACAAGGATGAGGGAGTTTCACTTGGCAATGTGATCATAGCAGGATGTTGTCACATATCTGAACACTGAGAAAAGGCTAATCAACACTCTGAATTGAAGTAATCAGAGGCGACTACAGAACCTTGAGCAGATTGTCATATCCTGTTAATCGAGCCTGGCAACTTTGTTTTTGTTGGTCTTGTTGGAAGTATTGGCAGTCACAGCATTTCAGAGGATCATGTTCGTCATGAAAACTGTTATTATGGGGACCACACACAGAACTCAGGAAGCACATACTCAATAACCATCGCGTAGGAGAATTACTGCTGCAAAAAAAGGGGAAATCATAAAATATCATGTCACAGGAACTCTCGGCCACTGCAATTATCAGATGCACAGTCTACTGAAAATCTACGTGTGCAAAATGCAAGAGTGCAAATTTTCGGCGAATAATTCAAGAATACAAAGTCTACTGGAAACAATATGTGTCTATGGCTAGAACACCTCACCAGAATATCCTCACACCAGTGTATCTCCCAAAGCTGTAACAAATCCGCAACCTGCAGTCGAGACATCCAGAATACTTGGTCACCATATCCTTCAAGTTGAACCCCAACCTGATAATAACCACAACGTTTTAGATGCCACGCCGTAAGAGTTCATCACCCAAGTACTTCCTAACTCCCTCGCCAACACCTGAGACAGCAAAATATTCTTTTAGAAGTTGAGAAAGTAATATTTCAATATTGAGCGAGTTCTAATTATGAAGAGCGGTCATAAGACGTTTCCAAAACCACCGTCCGACGTGATGAGATGAAAGAGATTTATGAATTACCAGACTCAGAACTGAAAGAAACATGTGAGAAGAGGTATATGAAGAGAACCCTCTCGGTATGCCAAATCAAGAAGCCTCTTGAAGAAATGTTGTCTATCACACTTTTGGCTACACCCGCAAGCTTTTGGTTCGTCCTGTGAGCATATCCTAGTATGAAGAGAAATGTGTTAAGTCCTGAT